TCCTTCCTTCCTTCCTTCCTTCCTTCCTTCTTCCCTTCCTTCCCTCATTCCCTCCCTCCTTCCCTCCCTCCTTCCTCCCTTCCTTCCCAAGGCGTTCCTTTCATTTGGCACTAAGTACTAGGGACACAGAAATGAACAAGACCTAAAAGGAAACTGTGGTCGTGGAGTGTTTGCCCTAGTGGGGAGCCAGGTCACAGGGCGATTAAGATCGTCCTAAATTGTGTGAGGGAGCTTAAAGGGGGAGGCTGGTTAGCATGATTAAGAATCTCAGAGAAGTGCTCGCGGGGAAGACCTACAAGATGGAGAGGCAGTGAGCCAGTCCAGGGCCAGGGGGAGCGGGGGGAGGGTCTGGCCAAAGGGGACTGTGTGCCAGGGCCCAGCCCGGAAGAAGCCAGTGGGCTCAAGGACCTGAGGAGATGGAGGTGGCCAGAGCGAGGGCGAGGCCACGAGGACTCTGGAGTTTATTCTCAGCACATTCGATGCACAGAACAGTTCTAATCAGGGAGGGGCATTGGGAAGTAGTTAAAAATAACAATTGAAAGAGTTTTTGCTGATGGTCTCACAATGTGCTGTTGGTTTTAACAAGCAGAAACATAACTAAGTAACGCCACATTCCCGATTGGGGTTTAAAAAAGAACGTCTGCAGCGCCAGCAGAATGAGACGTAGCTGGGGTCAGCGGGCTGTCCCTGGCGGGCAGCGGCTGTCATCCCTCTGTACGTCTCAGTCCCGGCCAAGTTTCCCAGAAATGCCAGGTGTCAGTTCCCTAATCAGAAGGGAGGGTAGGTGTTCCTGCTGAGTTCATGCTCCTGGCTGCACTGCGGGGAGGAGCAGACGGGACTGGGAGCGTGTCTGGCCCAAGGCCAGGCTCCCGCGTTGGGTCCGGGGCGCCCTCACTCACCAAACCCTCCTCTTCCCAGTTCGAGGGCTGCTCGAAGGCCTACTCGCGCCTGGAGAACCTGAAGACGCACCTGCGGTCCCACACCGGGGAGAAGCCGTACGTGTGCGAGCACGAGGGCTGCAACAAAGCCTTCTCCAACGCCTCGGACCGCGCCAAGCACCAGAACCGCACCCACTCCAACGAGGTACCGCCAGCTGCTCCGGCCCCGCGGGCACGCGTGCACACGCATCACCCCGTGTCCTCTAGACGACTGGAGGCCAGGTGCCAGGTGCCCTCTCCCCACTGAGCTGTCAGCTCAGCACACAGGGCCTGGGCAGCTGGTGAGGCCAGGCTTACCTGCTAGTGCTGCCAGTCCCGCTTGGCCTGTGAGGGACACGGGGCAGCCTTTGTCTCCCCCGGGAGCCAGAGCCCTGGCAGGGGCGAGAGCCCTGGGAGGGAAGCGGGCGGGAGCCCATGGCGTCCGCTCTGCCCACCTCCCGGGCCCTGCCCTGCTGATCAAATGCTGTCACTCAGGGAGACTCCGGACATTTCTAAAAGCTTAGATACATTTTTTTAAATACGTTTTTATTGATTTTAGAGAGGAAGGGAGAGGGAGAGAGATAGAAACATCAATGATGAGAGAGAATCATTGATTGGTTGGTTCCTGCACGCCCCCTACTGGGGATGGAGCCCGAAACTTGGGCATGTGCCCTGACCGGGAATCAAACATGGGATCCTTCAGTCCACGGGCTGACGCTCTATCCACTGAACCAAACCAGCCAGGGCTTAGCTAGATTTTGAACCCCTAAGGGACTTGCTCCAATGCTTGTAAGAAGTTAGAGGACTTCCCAGAGGTATCTGAACCCCTCAGTCTCTACAGATGAGCTGGCCTTGAAGAGGGGTGTGTGCCTGTGTGTGACTGTGTGCCTGTGTGTATGCCTGTGTTAATACGGGTATGCATGTGGGTGTGGTTGTACATGTGTATGCATTATGTGTGGGGAAGGATGTGGGTGTGAATTTGTAAGTATGTACACATGTAGGTATGTGTGTGTGCTTTATATGTATATGTGCATGTAGATGTGTTTGTAAGCATGTGTACTCCTGCATGTGTATATGTGTGTGCCTGTATGTATTGGGTATGTGCCTGTGTGTAGACATGTGTGTACACATATAAATGTGCATGTATGTATGTGGGTGTAGAGTGTGCACGTATATGAGCTCAGGACTGAGGTTCAGAAACCCTGGTTCTCATCCCATTGCCGGGCAGCTTTGGGCCAGTTCCTCTGCCTCTGACCCGTCTTCTCCTCCTCAGAGAGCCTGGGCTCTAGCGCTGCCTCACGGGCACAGGGAAGTGTCACCCTCATCCTGATGTCCAAAGTCCCCGTGCCCTGGTCAGGGAGGCGGGATGGTCACACCAGGCTCTGTCCCCTCCCTCCAGTCTCTGATCTCTGTCCCCAGCGAGTGACGGGGGCTCCCTTAGCCACATGCTCACCTGCCGGAAACGTGCACACAGGCTGGCAGGGCAGGCCCCTTCCATCCAGATGGCATGGCTGCAAACGGGGCGCGCCTTCCAGCAGTGGCAGCCGGGCTCTGCCACGGGAGGCGGCATGGCTTCCGGAGGGGAGTGCGCCCATGTCGAGTGCCTTCGTGGCCCGTCCGTAATGCCGCCTGCTTCTCTCCCAGAAACCCTACATCTGCAAGATCCCAGGCTGCACCAAGCGCTACACGGACCCCAGCTCTCTCCGGAAGCACGTGAAAACCGTGCACGGCCCAGACGCTCACGTCACCAAGAAGCAGCGCAACGACGTGCACCTCCGCGCCCTGTTGCTCAAGGAGAATGGGGACCCTGAGGCCGGCACTGAGCCCGGCGGCCAGCGCTCCGAGGAGAGCGCCGAGGCCAGCAGCACCAGCCAGTCCGCTGAGGACTGCCTGCACGTCAAAGCCATCAAGACCGAGAGCTCCGGGGTAAGCAGAGTTGGGCAGTGGAGGCCCCGTCCCCCAGGAAGCCACGCCCAGCAGGCCAGGCCCATTCCAGAGCACCGCCTGGGTCCAGCACCCCACCTGCCGCTGGGGGCCCTCCCAGGCCCCCTCTCCAAGCACCCCACGTTGTGCCTCCTTTCTCCAGCTCGAATGTCCTACCTTCACCACCGTGGGCCTCACAGAAGCTCTGTGGCAGGTCCCGTGGTGCTGGGCAGGCTGTGGGAGACGGGAGTGCCTGCCCCCACGTGCCAGTCTGCGAGGGGCGGAGTGGCTCCCGGTGTCTGCCTTCTAACCAGCACCAGAGCCGCCTCAGGCTCCCTGCCTGCTGTCCTGTCTGCATCCTCACCCCTCTGGCCTCCACTCCTTTTGTTCTAACCACCTGTTCTTTGTCTCCACCTCTTTTCCCCGACTGTACCTCCCCCAAGGATAGACGTTACTGAGGTGAGCCTGAGGGGGCGGGGTGGGCTGGCATGAGTGAGGGTGGGCTGGGGGCCTGTCCAGGGGAAGGTGGGTTTGGATAGGTAGACGGCAGGTAGGACCATTGGAACAGGCAAGGCTGGCAGCAAGAGTCAAGCTGACAGGCCCAGGAGCAAGCAGTGGGGACCTCCCCGCGTGAGGGACAGGCAGAGTGGAGGTGAGGGTTAGGGCTGCAGCGGACAGAGGACTGACCTACAGAAGGTGTGGAGTGAGCTGAGGAACGTGGGTGGTGCCTGGACAGGATGGAGCTTTGCTGCTTCCCAAAGAAAAGTCTGGAATTTGGGAGCAATCAGCCTAGAAACGAGCCCAGAGGTGCTCCTCCAGCGTCAGCCTCGCTGGGGCTCAGGTCCGGGTTCCGTGGGTTCTGCATTGTCATGCGCCATGAGCTCCCAGCCCCTCTGCCCCGGCCCACAGCGAGGGCTGCTGGGATGGCCCTTGGACAGGCCCCCTCCCGCCTGTCCTTTCCCTTCCGAACACGCTCCCCGTCCTTCATCGTGCACATCGCGGTTGTTGGGAATGCTCAAGTGCCTTTCATGTCAACTTCACGCGGCTCCGGCAGCTTCTGTGGGCACAGCTTCAAGGTGTCCACCTGTTGACGACTCGCCAGCTCCGAGTGGGGTGGGGCGGGCTGGCATGAGTGAGGGTGGGCTGAGCACAGGGACGGTGCGGGGCAAGGCGGCTGACAGTTACTGGTGTCCTCTCCACGCCGATGAGTCCCTTCCACCCACCGACTCTGTCCTGAGGGCAGTTCAGGTCCATCTTGTAGCTGGGGAGGCCAAGGTTGAGAGAAGATATTATTCGAACGGTCCTCACAGGGCAGCTTCCTTCCCGCCCCTGGGTGTGCAAGGGTGCCTTGTGGGTGCAGTCCTGGGCGCAGGCCAGGTGGTCCTCACACCGCCGATCTGACCTCACCCCGTCCTCTACAGCTGTGCCAGGCCAGCCCTGGGGCCCAGTCATCCTGCAGCAGCGAGCCCTCTCCCTTGGGCAGCGCCCCCAACAATGACAGCGGGGTGGACCTGCCGGGGACGGGGCCTGGAAGCTTGGGAGACCTGACAGCGCTGGATGACACGCCCCCGGGGGCCGACACCTCAGCCCTGGCCGCCCCTTCCGCCGGCGGCCTGCAGCTGCGCCAACACATGACCGCCATGCACAGGCTAGAGCAGCTCAAGAAGGAGAAGCTCAAGTCACTTAAAGATTCCTGCTCGTGGGCCGGGCCAGCTCCACACCCCCGGAACCCCAAGCTGCCTCCCCTCCCGGGAAGTGGTGAGTGGGGGTCCTGGTGTGTGGGCTGGGGGGAGAGGGGGACAGAGCCTGGGGCAGCACCCACCGGGTTCATGCCCATCAAGCGCTATGTGTCCTCTCACTGGCCACAATAGGATGGATCTTACCAGCCCATTGCACAGACTAGGAAACTGAGGCTCACAGAGATGAAAGGGCCTCACTTAAACCAATGGCAGAGCTGAGACTTAGCCCAGGCTTGAGTGGCTGCAGAGCCCATGCTCTTTCAACTACACCATGCTGCACCCTACAACCCCCTAAAAACAGGCACACCCTGCTCACATCATCCTCGTCTCATGATTCATTCGGCCACTTATCAGGCACCTGTGTGGGCACCGTGGCAAAGGCCCTGGGCAGGAGTGATAGAGTCTCACTCCCTGTGGTTAGAAGGAGCATTCAGTTGAAGGCCATGCCACCAGATGCACAGTCACCTGCAGAATGAGCCAAACAGCACGGAGGTAGAGCTGTGTGGGGGAGAGAGAAAGCATTGTCACTAGGGGAGGACTTCCTGTAGGAGGCAGCCCTGTGTTCAGCCTCAGGAGGTGTTGGCCAAGTTTTGAGATGGAAGGCTGTTTCACCAAGCACTTCTTGGGTGCTGACCCTGTGCCAAGCAATGCACCAGCCACTGGGGCACTTACCCTCCAGGCTCCCTCGGGGACTGACGGCCAGTGTGGGCCACAGTGTGGGCTAGTGGGACGCGAACACGGGGATGCACCACCAGCTCTTCCCTAAGCAAGGACTTGTTGACTCAGCTGTGAAGGAACTGCTAGCAGATGGCCTTCAACTCTCTGCCTCCTGCAGAGATCGCCTGGGCCGCTGACAGCTGCCTCACCAAGGTCACCCTTCCCAGGGTGGCCTCCATCCAGGGACCGATCACTGCCAGAGTGTAAGGGCTGTTTGAAGCCCAGAGCTCCCCAGGGGTCCGCCAAGGCTGCCGCCGGGCCTGTCACTGCTCATTTCTCCCTGCCCCCTGCTCCTTTTCTCCCTCCCGTGGGCATGGGTCTCAGCCCTCCCTATAGCAGCCTGCTCTCTCAGTCAGCCCTGCCCCAGGAGCCTGGCTGGCAGCCTCCCCAGAGGGTGAGGGCCAGGCCCTCCTGGGCTCTTCTCCAGAGCTCAGTCCACGGCGAGGACACCGTCCACAGCTGGGAATGCAGAGCGCCAGCTGGATGGGAACTCAGGGCCAGCCGGACAGTGGGAGAGCCACGCGGCATCCGGCCCTGACTCTGCTGCCCACGCTCTGCAAGGAGGGCCACGTTCGCCCACCTCTGCTCCTTACCGCTTCCACCAGAAACCATGGGCTGAGTGCCTGCTGGGCTCCAGACCGGGTCCTAGGGCTCCGGGCTGCAGCCTTGGCCTGGTCCCGGCGGGCAGGGCACCGCTCCCACCACCACGTGCTGACCTCTTTCCTTCCCCACAGGCTCCATCCTGGAAAACTTCAGCTGCGGTGGGGGTGGCAGGCCGCTGGGGCTGCTGCCCAACCCCCGGCTGTCTGAGCTGTCTGCCAGCGAGGT